CTCTGATGGAGCAGGTAATTTATTGTTTTTTTTAAAAAAGATTTTTAATTGATAATCAGGGGAATTGTGTGTTTTTTTTATGCCTTAGTTTTCTAATTCATATATATATATATAAATTATGAAAGCCACTTTCGCCCAAAGATGAAAGGATTGTTTCGGTGAATCCTTCCCCGGAAGCAGCCGTCATAAAACGCCCACAATTATCTGCTACTGTTGCTCCAGATCTTACCATTGTTCCACCACCTCCTCCACCACCGCAACTTAATGTTTATGATTATACCTCACATGACCAGGCAATGGCAGCTTATGCTGGTTAGTTAGTTTCCTTCTCCATCGTATCTTCATTTTGTTCACAGTTAAGAATGAGTTATTAGTAACCGTATATGTGGAACATTGATTAGTGGGATTGTGTGTCTCAACTTGGTGATCTTTGCATCTTCAGGTTATGGCAATAACACTGGTATTTGGGATGGGTATTCTCAACATCTTAATGCATCTGATGGAATGCATTTATCTCCGGTGAGGATGATTCCTTTACTATTGTACTCTCAAATTCTTTTTCTATAGTTCTAACTGAATAATTTCTTTTACCTTTTTTTCCTGACGGTGATCAGATTATATACAATGATAATCAATCTCTTATGTATCATTCCGGATATGGCTTGAATCCTGATATGGGACACGGGCAATATTCTCCTATGGCTACGCCTCTAACTCCCATAATGATAGACAGCCAGTTATACTCTCCACAACAGATCCCATTCTCCCCATTTTACCATCCAGATGTGCCCTCATCAGGTCCTCTAGGCTCATCTGAGCTAATGTCATTTGAAAGCAATAGTGGCAACTCCTTTTTTGGACCAGGATCAGGTTACTTGGTACATTATGGATCATTTGGTGGGGGGAACATGTCCGGGGCTCCTGGCTCTGATTCCTCAACATCTCCATCGGCTTATCCTCAACCAATGGGCATACTCGGGCCATATGAGCACCAAGTTGCACAGGTTTGTTTTATCTTGTTCCAACAATTATGAAATCTAGAATTTCCAAAAGTTTCAATTCCTTTTTCTCTTTCACATCTACTGCCTGTTTTCCTTGCTCATCACCACTGCCTTTTCAGTTTCTTCTGAATTGGTGCACAAGTTTCTATATCCAAAAAATCCCCCTTTGAGTTTATCATCTTAACTTTTATTAAAAGTTGTGATGTAAAGTTTGTTCTGGATCTTGACACATGATTGCTATAAGTTGTTAATTTACCTGTTTAGAGCAAAGATTAATTGTAGTGAGGCTTCTTGCATACTTATCTGTGTTTTTTACTAGCAGTTCCTCGTCTGACCCTTCAATAAGGAGCTTGTTAAATTTTGTTTGGACATGTTTTCAGGGTTCTCAGCAAAGATCATTGCATGGATATGGATATACATCATCTTCCCCTGTTGGACATTACCAGCATGTTGGCTCTTTTCAGAGCTCTAGTTTTGCTGGTGGTTCAATTTCTTATGCAGGGGCTAATGACCGGACACGAGTTGGACTTGATAAAGGCAGGAGGAGATACAGAGACCAGGACCCCATTTATTCTTCTAACGATCCATTTGGTTTTGACCGTAATCGAGGACCAAGGGCTTCAAAGCTTAAGGGAAAGAATGCCACTGAACAGCGTTCCTCCTCTGGTAATGGCAAAGGCAATTCAGCTAGCTCTGGGATTCAGCTTGATTTATATAACCAGCTAGATTTTGTCACTGATTACAAGGATGCCAAGTTCTTTATAATCAAGTCTTTCAGTGAAGATAATGTTCATAAAAGTATTAAATATAGTGTTTGGGCAAGCACTCCACACGGGAACAGAAAAATTGATGCTGCTTATCGTGAAGCAAAGGAGAAAGGAAGAAACTGTCCAGTCTTTCTTTTGTTTTCGGTATGTCAGTGTAACTTGATGTTATTTTAACGCGATGATTTCTGCTAGTGGCATTGTGACTGCTGGGAACCAGGTTGAAGCTAATGCATGTAGAGTGGTATCTGAATTGTAATGAATGGTTGAACATGGTAGCTTGGATTTCTCTGTCTATAGATATGAAAGGGCATTGTTTTCTGCTGTTTTTTTCCTGCTTTTTGCCTTTGGGTTTATGAGTTTGTATTTGTTTTAGAAGCCAGCAGAAGACCGCAGACCTATGTTGTAAAACAATGGGTTTTTTTTTTGGTTATTTTTTGGTAAAGTTAGTGGAATAAGCAGGTAGTTGCTGATTTTATTTGTGGAACAAGTTTTTGTTTTATTTGTCTTTTACATTTTGAAGCTGAATTCCAACATCAATGACTTACTTGTTTCTGAATCCTGCATACTTGCTGCATTGTTTAAAATTCGCTGCTGCTCTGAAAAAGTCTGTTTTGGTTCATTAATGTTCTTGGATTTGTTTACATATTTTTGTGCAGGTCAATGCTAGTGGACAGTTTTGTGGAGTAGCAGAAATGGTTGGACCTGTAGACTTTGAGAAGGATGCTGAATATTGGCAGCAAGATAGATGGAATGGCCAGTTCCCAGTCCAGTGGCATATCGTTAAAGATGTTCCCAATAGTCGTTTCCGGCACATACTACTTCAAAACAATGATAATAAGCCTGCTACTCATAGTCGAGATTCTCAAGAGGTAAAGCTATAAAATTTTACTAATATTCCTACTTTTTTATTAGTATTTGTGCTATTTTATTTAGATTTATAGAGTTTAGAATGCTTCTCATGACTCGAGTATTTATAAATTCCTAGATGTTTTTCTGAGCATGAGTTTACTTTGATTATGTTACAGAAACGGGTAAATAAGTACTGTTCTAGAAACACGAGTACCAGAACTGTTGTTCTTAGTGGATTGCTAAATGTCTTTCCTTCATGGAGAAAAATGCTGCTTGATATTGTGCATTTATCAACTCCATATTATATCTGAATTCTCCATTTGTTAGCTAGGTTGGCCATGCAAACATGCCATCCTTTTTATCTTGGACTTTACTTCATGCTCGCTTCATGCTTTGTTTTATTCAAAGGTCTATAGAGGATTATATTTTAACCAGATCTCAATTATCTGCATGAAATATGCTAGAATTTGATCAGTATCATTGGGTATTAGTTTAATAATGTAACATAGGACAGTTACATTGATTGCAAAGGGAGTTTTTATGTTGAGTTTGAGTGATATGGGGGTCCAAAAAGCACCGTGGTCTGTTTCTTTTTTTGGTCTTCAGCTGTCCCAGGCTATCTGTGCTGTTTCTTTTCATAAAAAAGGCTAGAGTGTCATGCCTAGTAGCTTTTGATCTAAAAGTATAATTTTGGGTGTTTATAACCTCATTGCATTCTTCCTGGTCCTAATTTGTACCGTATTCTGGCTGCCCAGATATTTTTTCATGAATCAGAAATCATTTAACCTTTCTCTAAGTTCATTATCCCTTTCAAATCTGTGTTTAACCTTATTTGCGGACACCATTCAATCAAGATGAAAGTTTTGTCTGGTCAAGACTGTTTGCTGATTTTCTTTTCTGTCATTACATGGATCCAGCCCTCTTACTGATTAGTTCTTTTTGCCTGATGGGTTTTTCGTCTCTCTCTCTCTCTCTGGTGTGCTGAATACTCAGGTGAAACTAGAACAGGGTATTGAGATGTTGAAAATCTTCAAGGATCATGATGCACCTACATCTATCCTGGATGATTTTGACTTCTATGATCAATGTGAGAGAGCTTTGAAGGAAAGGAAGGCCAAACAGCAACCTAGTTTGAAAGTAGGTGGTGCAGGTTTGCTTGCTGATGATACCATAAATCAAATGTCTGATTTTCTTGCGCAATCTCTCAAGTTGGATGATGTTAATAAAGAACCAGCAGCCAGTGAAGAGGTTGGTAGCTTAGGACCTGGTGTGGAGGTCTTACCTGCTAATAATTGCAATACTGCCATGGAACTTGCTAACAATTCCAACATCGTGGTTTCAAAAGCTGAAGATTCCAACAACCATAACTTGTCTCCCACCTTAAAGTCAAAAGAGGGTAGTGGTGAGTACCAGGATTAATTCTGTTGATAAGATGACCACAGTTATGTTGACAGATAGGAGCTTTTAGTTGTAGTTGTGCCAGGATCTCTGGGATGCTGGTTCATAACAGCACAAACTCCTTGTTCTCTTAAGATTTGATAGATTCTTTGCTTGCTGACATGTGGGATGGCATATTGGGTATCTGAGTAGCCTGAAGGCATACTAACAAGCTGGTTTTTGTTTTTGCTTTGCTTTTGTTATGGACTGTTGAGGGAGAAGTGAATGTGGTCAATTTTTTGTCTGGGTTATTTAGAATGGGAAAGGATGATGATTGGTGCAGTGAGTTTGAAGAATGGGATGGTTTCGTAAAGTGGGAGTAGATTTTGTATACTATGCAGCTGGAGCCCAAATTGAATGTAATCCTGGGTTCTGTTTCTACTGATTTTCCAGAGAGCATTTGGCTAGTGGAAGGTTTGTAAAGTGACCATTTTGAAGGGAAAATAGTGATAGGACAAGTAAAAATAGAAAGAAAATTCAACAATTACCCTTATACAAAATGATGAGGAATTGCCGCTCTTGTTGTATGTTTACCGTTGTTGGTGTAAGTAGAGATGTTTCAATTACTTTGTTAGTTTGTTCTAATTTTTCTTCGTAGTGAAGAATTTTAATCTTTGTTATTGTAGAAAATATCCTCGGAAGGATTATTGAGCTTTGTTATCTAGGTGCCCATTTATTGAGAAATATTGATATGCAATGGCCTCAACTCAGGTTGAAAGTGCTGGTGGGATAACCCTGAGGATATGATTTAACTAGTTAAATTTTAAATTTATTTTTTATAAATTATTAGTTTGAGTATTGTAAATCTTAAAGTAATTATTAGTTATCTGGATATCTTAATTAATTAAAAAAAAAAAGGTGCTGGAAGGACTTCACGTTTGTAAATTGCAAGGTCTTGATTGAGGTTCCTTCATCAAGTCGTTTGGGTACAAATCAAGGACAAAAAATGATTGCTATGTCTTGGAAGACTCCTCTTCGTCATCTAGAGCCACTTGCCCTGGAGATGCATGCTTACCAGGGCACTCTTATCACTGGGATTAATTTGTTTACTGCTGTGTCTAAGCTGCTGGAGTGGTGCCTGCTTGTTGTTTTAAAATCCAATTCTGAACCTCCTGTAATCCGGTGCAAGGGTAGTCTGTCCTCGTGCCGGAGGCATGACTGTAGGATCAATAGCCACTCAGATCGGGTGAGCGTGAGCGCAAGAGTTTCGAGTCTATTATGTGTTATGATTATAATTTAAAATATTTTTTATTTAAAAATATATTAAAATATTTTTTTTAAAATTATTTTTAATATAAACATATTAAAACAATTTAAAAATATATATAAATAAAATTTATTTTAAACAAAATAAAAAATTTAAATTTCAAAAAAACACGCTAAACACTTCTAAAAATCAAAGTCTTACACTATATGATTCTTCCGACACTTATCAACCTCCCAAGACATTAATTAATTTATAATGTTTGTATTTATGATGCCTCAACAATATTTTTTATAGTGTCACGAAACAAAGAAGAGGAACACCTTTATAATAATTATATTTCAATTAATTGGTAATGATGATTATGTTAATCCTCCAAAAATATTAAAAATTGGATTAACTCATTCAATGTGCCACCTAAGTCATAATTATTGATGAATTAAACAACTTTATCTTTTGAAATATATATATTTTTAAATCTAATTATTAACATTCTAAAAAATACAAGGGTGGGTCTTAATCAAAAATTAAAAAAAAAAACAATGCAAACAAAAAATGATCCTGATAAAAAACCCAAGCTTAGATGTGTTTTAATTAAATAACTTTTTTTTATCCAAAAAAATAACGTGTTCTCTGCTAAACTAGACAATATATCATCCATAAACTTTAATTCTGGCTACCTATGTGGTTGTTAAAAAATTAGAAAACTTAGGATTTTAACTCAAAATTTATTTATTCAACCCATTTTTACCTTTAAACACATACAAACATGCATAAAACACTCACTAACCCCACAAAACCACCCAAAAAAAAAAACATTGAACCAAAAAAATTAAATGGAGCATGATCGAAATTTTAGGTATGTTTATATGAAAAATTCATATCATTGAACTATATCAAGAATTAGGAAAAAAAAATTATGATCAAAATGAAATTTTTAAAAATCAAAGGAATTGAATCAAATAAAAAATAAAAATAGAAGGATAAAATTTGTTTTGTCGTGCTAATTTTAGATTGGTCAATATATTTTGCTGCATTTTATTCTTTGGTTGTGTATATATTTTTTAATTATGTTTTACTATAACAAATTAGAAGAATTCAATAGCCAATTTTAACTTTATAAAAGAGAGATAAAATTGTAAAAATAATAATTGAGAAGCCAAAAAAACAACTGTGATTCTTCGTTCGTTTTCCCTCGTTCCGGATGTTATAATATTTTATTGTGTGATAATCTAACCTTAATTCAGGCCCATTGAGCCTCTCAATTACAAAAAGAAGGAAAGGAAATAACGAAATGGAGCATAGCCAAACAAGGCTTAACAGGTGGCACCAGGTATTTTCATCCTGCAGTACTTTTCCTGCTCTGTCCAGCAGTGACACACATACTGTACTGCACTATTTACTCGCAGTCTCTCGCTCGCTCTCTCTCGAGCTGCAAAGAGAGGAAAACAAAGGGAGAAAAAGGAGTAATTCTTGAAAATGTTGAGCAGCAAAAACCCAAAATCAGAATCCGGAAAGCAGCAGCTGCTCTCTAAAATACTGAGAGCTTCGGTTTCGGAAAAGCTTAAGGACTTACTTGGAGACATCCCAGAACTAAATGAAGAAGAAGATAATAATGATGTCATCCAAGACCTATCTGTACTTGTACCCTTTTTCTCTTAAATCTGAAATGGTTTTTTTTTTCATTTAAAAAAAAATAAAATTATTGTTTTGTAGGAGTATGTAACTCTGCTTATTTCTAATGGGAAGACACAAAATCAAGCAAAAATCCAGTTGGAGCCATTTCTTGGTGATGCCAATACTGCCCTTTTTGTTTCTTGGTTGGTAGCTTCATTTGTTAATATTTATCTTGGTTCAGATTTTTTTAATTAATAGTAGAATGATTGTATCAAATAAAAAAAAAGGGCGATTGTTTTATTAGTCGAGCATGTAGTTAGAGGAGATGTTGGCCAAATCATCAGGATCCAATTTAATTGCTACATTTAACATACAGTGTTGATTTATTATGTATTATTTATTTTTCTTGCAGCTTAAGATTTCTTTTCTCTTCTTTTCCTCTTTGTTTTTTTTGTTTTCTAGCTTAAGATATTTGATATTATTTTGCTAGATTTTACTAAAATATCTGTTAATTTATTTGATTTTTGTTTGTCAAGGCTCTGGGAATTTCTTTCCAAAAATTATATGAATCCGAATGCATCATCAGATGTTGAAAATGCCACTGGTGATGGTAATGCTACTGGCAAGAAGCAGGTAAAAAATAATTTGGATAACCCACAACTAATAAATACTAATACTAATAATAATAATAATAATGATTGTTTTCTTAATTTATGTAATTTTTCATTAGCTGTATTTAATTTGTATAATGGGAGAGTCAATTATGTGTCCTTGATTTTGTGTCTTCAGGCAAGCAAGAGTAGTCTTATAAAGCCTTCAGAAGATTCTAAGCAACTTTCCGAAGGCGTCAACTGTCCGGATGACGACGACTTATCTTCGGAGTCTTTGGAGGAGGGAGAGCTGCCAAGAACTCACCATGAATCTATCAAAGAGTTTGAAGAGTGGGAAATTGGTTATGGGGAGTCCTTAAAGTGCACATCTTCTAGAGTGGAGGCATGTAGTGGAGATTTTGGTTTTGGTGGTAAGGAAAACACCCCGCACAAGAAGGTTTATACAAGTGAGCCTTCTTTCTTAATTTCTCATAGTTGATACGTTATTCAGGCTTTCTAATTATATGTAGCATGCGCCTGTCATCAGAAACAAACACAATAGCTTGTCTCTTAAGCTCTTGGTTTGACAAAAGGGAAAGGCGCCTTTTCTAGGATTTTGCAGTAATATAGTGCTGATCATTATGTTGTGCAGCATTTGGAAAATATCCAAGGCGTGCTTCTTGTTTATGTGTGTGTATGATATCTGTGGTATGCTTGTTACTTGCTACTTGTTACTTTTCCCTTCCATTGACATGATGGACCAACATCCTTCATGATTGTCCATATATTACGTATGCATAGCAAACATGCATGCAAAGGCTGCACACGATTTGCAGTTAATCTGTAGGAATCTCTCTAACGCAGTTAGCTGCAAACATCATCATCTGATCCAAACTTCGGTATTATTTTTGTTTTCATGTAGGAAGCCTTCGGTGTAAGAAACTTGATGTGGCTAATGTTGCTGGGAGGAGGCTTTTCACTAGGGCAGCAGCTGATGCAATACTTCATCAGCATGCAAGGGTGCATGGTAACGTTTGGGACAGACTGGGAAAGCTACCTGAAGGTGGAAATTGTGCAAATGCTGACGTGAAAGGCATTGAAAAGATCAAAGAGGAAGTATTTAAATGTTATGGAGAAAGTACCGAACGAAATCATTCAACACGTTCTCTTCATGGTCGTAAATTCTGTGGAAGATTGTCAGAAAATTTTGACATCAAGACTGGAGCAAGTAAAGATGGTCACAAGAGACAATTCATTGATATAAATTCTCATCAATCTGGTGTTTCCGATTCTATGGATGGGGAAGAAGCATTTATTAAAAAGGTGAGAAGATTATTGCCTGAAGAAGATAATGGTGTGCTGGGTGAGGATAGTGTTTCTTCAGGAGCTGAAACACCGAAAAGCCAAAAAATGGGTAATGCATCTAGCTCTAATGCTTCGACTAGTTCAAAGTTAAAGAAAATGCCCCAAGAAAGATTGACTGGGGAGATTTTGGAGTCTCCTGTGACTGCAGTCTCATATAGTACTCCCGTGACTGAGAAACCTTCTTGTAAGAACAATAGCAATGCAACTGCCAATCTCAAGCCCGTGCACAATGTAAGAAAAAGAGCTCATTCTAAGAAAAGCATCAGCTAGTTTCTGGTAGAATAAGAGTTCCTCTATGAAGCTGAAATGTGCTTCTGATTTTTTATTTTCTTATGTAGCAACTGATGGATATGAAACTAAGACTGGAGCATCTTGAAACGGAATTTGTTAAGCTCCAATCGAAGAAGGTAGAGAAAAAAGAACAAAGTTCATCTAAATCTGGTAAGAGAACTTCATGGAAGCAACCTTTATCAGTCAGTAAGTTGCAATGATTGTTGCGTTTTTGGTGAATTGGGTGTTCCTTCTGGTTATATTGTGATGTGTAACTTCTCTTATTTTCGTTGTCCAGAGGTGGAAAATGAAGTTATGATCTTAGGTCATAATCATTTTTCTAGGTTAAATTCTTATGACTGATTGATCGGAGTAGTTTCTATTTATTATGAGTTGAATAGGAAACAAAAGCTTTAGAAATATGAGTCATCTGTTACTTGTCATCCTTTGCATGTTCAAGATCCTTTGAAAGTACCCTAAATTAAGAGCTTGTGGAATCCATTAAGAGCAGCTTTTATGTTATGAGACGCTGCATGAAGACTTTCATCTGTTACTATTATTTTGTTGGTTAAGCAGTATGTGAAGAACAAACTTATAGCTTCAATGCTAAGAAATTGGGGATGCTGAAATCAATATGTGGAAGACTTGCACACGAGGTTAGAAATGAAAATATTCTGGTAAGAGTATTTGAATTCTTGAATGGGTGAATCAATTAAAAATTTGGGGAGGTTGACACAAGATACCTAGACCAACTTAAAAGCGTGAAGATTGTTGGTTGTAAAAGGGCCTTGCTAGAAAAAGAAAAGGGAAAGGACTTTATTCTTTAGTACTTTTTAAGATGGCTTTTCACAGATTTGGCTGTGAGAAACTTGTCTTGATAGTTTTGATTTGAACGTCTTCCAGCATCCCATGGTAAAAGGCTATTTGGCTCTCCAATGTTCATATTGACTAGATATATGAATTAGATACTTCTAAATGTGTTAAAGCTGTCTGTGCAAGCAAATAGACTGGAACCTATCGTGATTTAAACTTGGCCAAAATTTGCTTCTTTTTTGCTAGAGTCAACGTGTAAAATTGATGCTAGCCGAAGGCTTCATTCAATTGAGTTGATTGTTTGTTTATAATTACTTTAATTAGTATTCTGTTGGGGGCTTTAGAATCAAGCCCAGTATCTATGCAACTTCACAACATCCTTTTCCGAAAGGCATAAAAGTTGCTGATTTTTAAAAGGATCCCTATATGCAAGATAAGATTTTAAACAGGACGTCACTTTTGCTATTTGCAGGTTCCATTTATCATCTCGAGGGGGATGAATCAAGAACAGTAGTCGTGAAAAATGTAAAAAATGATAAAGAGTTTCCTTTGTAGATCTTGCTTCCATCCTCTCTTTCACTTCTCCCGAATTTCGATTAATTCAAAGTAACCATACTGTCTTTTCCTGTAACTTACCAGGTGCATATTGCAGCAACAAGAGAAGCCCTAATATCCTACTTTGCCAAGTGTGGAGCTGTCGATAGAGTTATTAAACTGACTGACACAGTTGGCATTAAACAAAAAGCGTACAAATCGACTAAGCGACTTTGTTGCACTTGTTGCTTTCATAATTATCGATCCCAATTAGTTAAAATAATAATAAGTTATCTTTGTTTCTCAGGTATGCCTATGTTACTTTTACTAGCAAGCACTCGGCAGACAAAGCACTGGCATTGAGTGGCGAATCTTTCTTTTCCCGGATCATATGGGTTAGTAGCCATTATTTCTTTGTGAGAACTACAATCTATTTCCTGAGGATTTTTTACTTAAGCTTCCAGTCATTTATCACTTTAACAAACCATCTTTAAGGAAACCACTTGGGAGTTACTATTCTTATTCTAATTGAGAAAGAATCCGCTGCATCGTGATGTTCTGTTCTTGTATATCATGAAAGTGGAGAGATTTCAAAATGAACTGCATCCACAGTCCATGCTCTCGAACATCTGCCCTTTAATTTTGACATGAGAAATTTTATGGCTGCATGAAAGACATGCGTTGAGTTATTGCTAGCTTTGATTATTATTTGTTCCCTGTACAGTCTCTGTCTATTTCTCTCTCACACTGTCTTTGTGTCTTCGTTCTGTCACTACATTATTCAGGTCAGAAGGGCAGGGAAGGTATTAGAGAAGTCCAGATGCACCCCTGATATTGGAAGGGGAGACTGTTCCACCACTACTGCTCCCATTTACATTGGAAGCAGCAGCAGAAGGCCTACAAATTATACGCTTTAGTAACAATAACTGCATATGAGAAACCTAGAGCTCTGGAAATGCAATTATCCACTTAACAAACTGCATATTTTCCTGCGTTCTTCAGGTTGCAATAAGCAACTTCAGTCTTCAGGTGTACGAATTGTTAGAAAGTAATCGTCTTTAGAGGGTATTGACAAGAGGATGGCCTATTGACAATCTGTTTACTGCAGTAGTTTTCGTTCCCGACTTTGGATATAGCAGTTCAAATCATGCCAGTAAAGAAACACGTATTTGTGGAAGTTTCAGGCAATTTTGCTAATCGCAAGAAAGGGCAAAAAATTCAAGTTGCCAGTCGTGCGGACAAACAATGCCATTTGACTGCCAATGTGCTTTGGATGCCCCCAACGGAACTTGTACAGGTGAAGCCCCCAGGGACATTTTTACTTGAATTGCATAATTGTCTTCCCGACACACACACACACACACATATATATTAGATAATTTAAAGATGAAAGACATGAAACCCCCGTTGACATAACATCATCATTCTAGTGATATTGACTATAATATTATTTTTTACCATTGAAATTCTAGAAATGTTTTTCTCAAACTATAAACTGAAAAATAAAGTTTTAGTTTAAATTTTGAAAATTGGAGGGATGCAATTTTTATAATTAGAAAAGTATGATGACTAAGTTGAATATTTCATGAAAAAGTTTAAAACACCAGTCATCCCCTCTGAATGTCTCACTTTGATCCTTTCTTTTTTAATTCTTCATTCTTAAACAATTTTAACTAAATTAAAAACTCATGGGTTGCAATAAATCCACAGTACCAATGAGCGTGCGTGGGGAAGCGCGTGGCGGGCTCAAGTGTGCGGTGGTAAAAGAGATTGTCATACATGAGAAAGTAAAAATGCAAGAACCAAATTAGGCAGAACTTACAATCTCTGTAGGAGGTAAGTACGCGCTCTAGAGCCCAGTTTAAGGATCTATATATATATATATATATATATACACTTCATCAATTCCTTCAAAAACAAACCTGACCAAATAAAGACAGCAGCGTTAAGTTAAACCAGTACTAGACAATATCTCTTCGCCAAATTATGTGGGCACTGTTCAAAAGCTGAAGTCAGGAGAAAATATAGAAAATTTGTTCGATAAGGGGTTTTGAACACAGAATCAAAATCCATGAATAGGAATCAAATTACCCTTTAGCTATCTCATGGCTCGACGGTTGTGAGAATATTGATATATAAACCTAATAAGATAAAAAATAAAAAATATAATAAAATAAAAAATAAAACATAAAAATATATGTGTTTTGTCCAATCTTGACTACATTTATGAGCAAATATAGTATAATTTTATTAATTAATATGGGAATAACAAACTGTCTCTGCTAATAGAAAAACAATTAAAATTTCTTAATTGTTAAAAAAAAACATATTATTTATTCTTTTCACAAATATTTTATAATTTTATGGGATTACTTTCCATAACTCATTCTGTTTTTTCTTTCTCTTATAATGTGCATTTAAGGTTTGATTACATTATTTATTTATAGATAAGAGTGCAGGAACAAATGATATAAATCATGACAACAATTATACCACAAATTATACCAACAATTAATCTTTATTTATACTTTATTAATTATATCAATAACTCATCTTTTATTTATTTTTGTCTAACAATTTGTCTTTCACCAATTAAATAGATTTAATTAAGTGGGTTTACATTGATAAGTCATCCATGTCGAGGACAGTGTCTACAAGGCCACCAGTCTTCTTAACTACTGGAACCTGGAAAAACCATTGTTATTCAAATGAGACCGTTGCTGCTACGTTCATGCTCATTTGTATATCCGTCCAATTAAAGTATGTTGCACGTATATATAAACAAAGATCCACAGAGAAGATGTTGCAAGGTAGCAATTTGTATATTTCTTGTTTTTGTTTTTCAACCTCTTTCATCATTTAGCTCTCTTTATTCATCTCAAAACCTGAAAGAGAATTGGAAAAATTATGACTATTATTTGATTAATTTTTTACAGGCTAAGCATGTTTGTAATTTTGATCTTGATTAGTCTCCATGTTAAGAAGAAAAAAATAGTATTGGTTTTATTTTAGTATTGTTATTTTACTTACAATAAGCTATTTGTGAACTCATTTTCATCATTAAATTAGTATTATATGTGTTTGTGTCATTATCATATAATATCTAACCTTAAATCTATATTTACAATAGACCTGATATTATTACTGATACCTTTAAGGTTATTCAAGAAAAATTATAGCTTATAATAGTTAAAGGTATTATTACAGACATTATGAACTGCACTCGATATAGTTAGTTTTTCCAACACTGAGAACCTGGGGATAATAAACTTCAGACATGGTTTATATATCCATATGATCTATAATAACAAAGGATAGCCCAACCTATTATTTTTTTATTTGAGAGATTGGACATATCCAAACCCAAGTTATTAAGTTTTATTATTAAATTTTAATTTATGTTTTTTTTGTTAAATTTTTACTGTTTAGTGGGTTTAAAAGTTATTTTAATTAGGGTTTTATTATTTATATATAATTTTTTAATATTATAATGAGTTGATGATGAATTAATAAAAGAATTGCAGACTTTGTTTTTCAACCCCCAATTTTCCTCTATTCTTGAACCTTTTTCTTTCTTCTCTTCAGCTCATGTTCTTATAATTCATGGCTTTTTACTTGTTCCCTCTTACTTTGCTGCAAGAGTGGCAGAAAAGGGCCGTTGTCTACACTGATGTCAGGAGAAGAGGGGGGCCGGAGAAGACGAAGAAGCTCCCCTTTTTTATTGAATTTAGTACTGGAGCGGAGGACAAGGTCTTTCTTTCTGAGAGCTCTACCACTTCTAGAGGATGAGCATCTTTTTCCACTGATTGGGAGAATCAGCTGCTTCGGATACGTAAGCTGCTATTGACAAATATAGCTATTCCTTAGCTCAGTGCTTGTTCACCTTAGCTCATGTTCATTAGCGAATCTTAGCTCTTCGATTCATTAATCGACCACACCTGATTTCGCTACAAGCCTCTTTGGCACTGGTAGCCTAGAGGGGGGAAGAATGGGTAACTAGAATAAAGACTGAGCCTTAGCATGCAATGCAGAGAAGAAGGGGTAAGCGATCACAAGAAAGCTCTATGCTAGGATCTCCTGGAATCGCTTTCAGACTATCGACTCTGATAGGATTCTCTTTTTCCGGGTGAACTCTTTCAAGAAAGTCAAGTGCCCTCCCGGCCTCCTAGCTTCAGAAACTGCTTGCTGTGACTTAGGATTTATGACTTCCTTTCCATAGGTGCTTGACTTGTGGCGAAGGGAAAGGCCTGTTTCAACTAGATTTTCTGCAAAATGGAATAATCTTGGAGAAAGAGTACCGCCCCGAAGCTTCTTTAAAGAGGCTAGGCTGATTCTTCTCTTACTAGACTACTTTTTCTGATAGAGCAGATAAGCCTGACAAGTAGGTGGAAGTCTCTCTTTTATCTTGCATCAGCTCCTCACTGTGCTACGAAGAAAGCTATAAACCATGTTTTGGATCATAAGTTGCAGAAAAACCTCACGGCCATTACCAAATCTGCAAGGTGTTTGACTTTGCCTTTAACTTGACCAGTGGAAGATTTTTCAAGAACAATCACATGTCTGCCCTTCATTGATTCCAAAAATATAGAAAGAGAAACATCAAATTAATTTATGTTTAACGAAGGAGGGAGCCATACCAGTTCTTCAACAAGCTTGAGTACATGAGTAATCAAATGCAGACTACCAAGGGGAGCTTAATTGTTCTATCTAACATATGATTACCAATGGCAATGTTTTTAAAGCCAAATCGAGGCCCCTCTGTCAATATTGCGTTTTTTGTTTAGGGTTGATGTGTAGTTTAGAGTATCTTCGGGTATGGTGTTCTCCTGAAGTGTGGATCTTGTCAATCTTGTGTTTTTTGTTTGGATGGTCAAACCTACTAAGACCTTAACTAGGCCTTGTGCAAATTTACAAGCATGTTTGGTGCATTCGGTTTCCATTCGGATCTTGTCTAAGCCTAGCTTTGTTGGATCCAAAACAAGGCAAACTAGACTTCCATCCCCATTTTTTCTCTCAATATTCACCAGGCATCTAATTTGTATGTTCTTTTTCTTTGGCTTACGAAGTAGAAAAGGGCAGGACTTGGATGGAAAGTCAGTCATTTCTCTCCTCCTTTGTACAAATATCACTCGGTGCTCAGTGACGTAAAATATATGCCGTAAAATATAGCTCATACACCAACACACCAAACTGGCTGTCGACCACTTCTAATGCGACATCAACAACATCAACAATACCAGTAAAGAACACCATCAATACTGAGCAAGTTTGAAGGGTGGAGAATAATCTTCAAAGCCCGCTCCATTCATGGAGGCTGAGACCTGCAATCCAATAAGGCTTTCATCTTACATAAGTGAGTTCCTTCAACACATGGTATCAGTAAGTTATCTGGCAATTCAGGATTCGTGAAAATTTTGGGTGATTGTGAAGTGAATGGGCAACTAACTTTATTTAATATCAAAAGCAGGAAGGCAAGGGAACTAACGAAATAATCAAGGTTGGTCACAATTTAGTGAATCACTGCAAAGTTCTGGTATAAAGTAGAAATGATGGATGGAGCAGTATTCTTATCAAACCAATAAAACTATGCAAACATACAACAACGCAACTGGGCAAATCTTGTTAGACAAAATTACATGACAAAGAAAGCTAGAAATTGCGCAAATGTTTTTTTATGATCCTTTCAAGAGAGAACTAGAGCATGACTAACATGCATTTTCAGTCGCAGCAAGATTTACATTACACTCATGGACATTATCTGACGAGCAAGAGCTGGATCTTGCTGCAAAAGTTCCCTCAGGTTGTTCTCAACCTCTGACATTTGCTTTTCCAAGTATTCCTTTGACGTCTGTCCAAAGCATAACAAATAGGATCATTACCATTCTCAAGGAAGGAAAAACAATTATGTTTAAAGTACGACTAAATTAATCAAAAGGGTACTGCTTCAAAGGTTGCTTACAAAAAATTTTGAAGATTACAGCAAAGGACAGTGTGAATACAGACCAGACTACGCAGCAGAAATATTGGTACCTTACTCATCCACAACTTAAATTGCAATTTCCATGAGTACTAATAATCTAACATGGCCAGCTCAATAACTTGTTCAAATTGTGCAACCTAGCCTTCTCATGCATAAACTAGGTAATTTTTCGTTGTCACGTGTAGATTGAGACTTCAACTTTACGTAGCAACTGCATATCTTAATTTTCTTTTGATTTATTTAAAGCTATGCACAAGGGTTTCATACTTGAAGGGAAATAGTTTTTGCAATTTTCCAGCTAGTTAACTAAATTCAATACAAAAACATGTTTGAAAAGAAGACAATACAAGGTAGATCAAGAATAAAACTCCAGCATAACTGGGAATAACTCATTATAGTTCCAGTTGCAGATCACCAGCAGACATTCATAGGTATTCGTCATTGGGTATAAAAATCTAGACTTTAATTCATGGCCCTACTGATTGTAACTCAAGAGGGAAAAAATATTATAGCAGCACATCTGATATTGAATACGCAATGCGCCAATAAGAAAAAAGTGAATTCACATAACAGTTTTAACCAACAGTAACTCTAAAATAGATTTAGTAAATACAACAGATGAAAAGGAGGAACAGAGCAGAGTCCAGGTTAGGGTGGAAATGGAGTTGTTTTGCATATAGAAATGGATGATTTTAACACAAAAGTATGTGTCTGCGTGAGAGAGACGGAGAAGAGGGGGGCAGGCAGATTTACCTGTAGTGAGGATATTGCAGTCTCGCTATCCTTGAGTTTCTGCTCCTGTTCACTCATCAATACTGACTTTGGCTCCAAAACAAACCTGACCACCATATGACAAACAAAGTATGAGTTTATAACAACCGGCCATCTATCCAAACAGCCAATAAATCATGATTCAGCCTGATTTGTTCGAGTTATGCATTACTCACGTTCTCCCTGCAAAAGAAAGAGATAAATATCAAATCAGCAACTCATCCGCAGATACAGAAAAGCACATATAATCCAAAGAACCAGCCCATGATTGATATAGAAATAAGGCATCACAGGACATCGCACAACGAGGTTTGCAGTCGTGATTAAAGAAGCAAACCCGACCATAATGTACTAATGCATGCCTATAGTAAAGTGTCTGCCAACTTACCTATAGATTTGTATGTATTTGTATCATCAGGAACTTGCCGCAGCTCTTCCAAAGTTAAGAAAGCACGCTTCTTTTCTCCCTCCTTGGTTCGTATCTGGTTCTGGACCTGAAAGCCAAGAGATAACTCACTCTATTCCGGTGTAAACTAATCTTTCAACAAATACATATGAATGACACAGGAATTCGCTATTAAACCAAGCAAGATGATATAAAGTATAAACATCACTAATGTACCGTAAACACCAAAGGAAACAACAAAACAACAAGTAATAGTACATATAGACCTGCATACTAAATTTAGTTCAGGTACGTGCGATGCAACTTGATGTGCTACAACCACCTAAGCTAGGAATATATTGTTCGGACATGGAGATGTTATCCTGAGCTAAATTTTCTACCAGTCATAATTTAAAGTTCTGATCCACTGTAACAAGTTATCTTTTTTAAAGAGTAAAGTTGCCGTTGAAAGAAAACCACTTTCAAATCCAGCAAAAGAATGTCATATAATTGCATCAAAACTATCCTACAATAAATTCAACCAGACACAAGGGGAAAAAAGCAAGAAAATCCAAATTACCTGCTTGAATTTAGAAGTGGTCTCAATCATGCGACCTTGAAGCTCTAAGAAAGCCTGTTTAGTTTGTTCCAAACAGAAAACAACAATCAGATCAAGTTGTTTACTTAAAAAGAAGTTGACAATTTGATCCTATAATGAGTTTTTATCAGTCTATTTATCATGTACAGAAGAAACCCAGATGCCAAAATACTGAAACTTAGATGGATAGAGATGGAGATGAGACTTACAGTTCTGTTGGCTTCGTCTGCCATTGGAGAAGAGTGTAAAGTTTCAGGTTTTCAAGAGTGGAGCAAGTAAGAACAAGGAAGATCCATGTTAGGGTTTTTATGGATCAAATAAAGAACCCATTTGATTCTGACGCTCTTGGCCCATAAAAGGTTTTTAAAGGCCTTGTTATTAGCCGTTATTTTATTTTATTTTAGATATTTTTTTATCATGAATTTTTAATTATTACTATAATTAAAAATAATAATTGAAATTAAATATTTTAAACTAATTATAAAATTAAATCTCTCCAAACAGCAAGGGACCAAATTAACAAAACAGGTGGAAGGTGATAAGTTTTTCATTGAGGTATATTATTAGATAATTTTTCACATTACATTGTGGTGGTGGTCAAGTTATTTTTTGTATATGTATAAAAAAATATTTTTATATTATTATCATGGTATTTATCAAAAAACAAATTATATGAATATTAACAAGATATGATATGATCAACTTGACAAATTCAAAGATAATATAAATGACCAATAAAAATATAGTTTGATTGTGAAAATCAAAACATATTTTTTAAAATATTGAAACGATAACATATTAGAATAATTTAAGTCAACTTAGATTAATTTGTCAAATTTACTACCTAGATTACGAGACTCCAATAACCCTATACAAAGCAAATAATTTTTTATTATTAAACTCAATTGTTAATTAACCCAATATTGACAAATAAAATTGAAAATAAAAATCAACTAGAAAAATAAGTTGAGTTAACTTGGGTTAAACCTAATTCATGAGACTAAGATAACTCTATATAAAGCAAATTGAAATAAATTATGAAATTCAATTCTTAATCAACAAAATATTAAATGATAAAATTAAAAAAATCAATTAAAAAATTATTTGAGTCGGTCAACCAAACTCGTGACCCGGTTATATGACTGTGATAACTTTAAAAAATATAACTCAATATTAAACGAAGAAATTGAAAAGATTTCAAAAAAAAAAAAACTTAAGTCAATAGGCCTAACTCGTGACTTAAGATATGAGACCATAATAACCTCATAAACAAATAAAAAAATATATAAAGTTTAATTCTCAATCAACCCAATGTTAAACAATTAAATTGGATAAAAAATAATAACTTAGATCAACCCGTGTTAACCAACCAAACCCAGGTCAAGAGATTGAAATAACTTCATATAAAGCAAATTAAAAATATATATATAAATTATAATTCTTAATCAACATAATTTTAAATAATAAAATTGAGAAAAAAATATATTTAATTAAAAAATAACAAAAACAAACGACTCAACTTGATTAACTTGTAAAACTCGCGACTCGGGTTGTGAAACCATAATAATCCCATGAAAAGCAAACTAAAAAAAAAATTATAAAGTTCAATTCGCAATAAATTAAATGTTGAATGATTAAGTTAAAAAAAAAATTAGTCAATATGGCTAACTTACAAGACTTGTGATTTAAGTCATATGATCAGGATAACTTCATGAAAATTAAATTAATATAAATTATAAAGTCTAATATCCAATAAACCTAGTATCAAAAAATAAAATAAAAAAAGGTTTAAAATTAAAAAAAAAGTCTTAAGAAAATTCTAGAACCAAAATGTAAAAGTTCATTTTTTTAGGAATAAAGTGTAATATTTTTTGACATTTCACTGTAAAAGTTTAACACTCAGTAAATTTAATATTAAAGAATAATTTTTTTTTTTGAAAAAAAATCAAGTTTAAAATAAAAAAAATCTGTAAGAGTTTGTGGAATAAAACTTAGAACAACAGTGTAAAAGATCTTGGCTTTTATTATTCATTGCTACAAAGAAATGTCAAGATCTCATAGAAAATGTTAATTATATTCTTACGAAACATGAAGCATGATGCAACGGGTGTTTTTATAGTTATTTTTATGTAGGAATAGTTAGTTAGTTACTAGACTAAAAAAAAATACTGTTGATTTATAATTTATTTTTAAAAAATAATATTGAATATTAACAAAAATTAAACCGGTTGGAAGTTGTACTCATTAGTACTATTCATGGAAACAATATAACGGCATCTTTACTTATCCCATCAAATAAATTATAACTAACTATTAAAATATTAAAGTTTTTTATGAGACATGTTAGTCATTTTTAAATTTATTGTGAGCAACGACGTTTTTTTTCATTTAAAAAGCGTATTCAAAAGACTCAAATACTCTTATGAACAAAAATTTCAATATTAGCATTGAGGGCAAATTCGGTACTTTGAAAATAAATTTATTATTATTATTATTATGTAAGACAAGGGCCAATTTTATATTTGAAAAATTATAAAAATATAAAAAAACAAAAAAACATGGTTAAAATAATCAAAATAGCAGTGGAAGTTAAAAATTCAAACTTAGCCTTGAAGATGCCTTTTCATCTTTTTCTAGAGGTTTTTTTTATATATTAATATGTTACGTGAATAAAAATTTGATATTTGATTAAAAAATTCAAAAAATAAAAAAATAAGTGAGTATACAAGATCCAGAGGTACATGGGAAGTGTCAATGCACTTTAAGAGGCACACATGACATCTTCTAGTGTTCAAAATGCATCATTTTTTTATTTATAATATTTTTTATTGGTTTTTTCATGAAAGATTTATTGGTTTTTAATTTCATCATTCAATTCAAATTAATGGTATTGTATTTTTCAATTTGGTCTTGACTATGATTTTTTTTCTTAACCCTTTTGTAAAAATTATTATTCTTTTTAATTTTACCCTTCAATAAAACCATTGTTTTTATTTTTTATATCAAGTTTGATCCTTGTTCTTTAAATTTTTTTTATCCTTTTAATAAATTGATTTTCTTTTCAATTTCACTCTTTAATCAAATATAAAATTTATTTTGTTTTTCAATTTTGATCCTCATTCTTTTAACTTCTATTTTTTAAATCCTTTTATATAATTAAAATTATTTTTTTCAATCTCATCGTTCGATATTTGATTGATTAAGAATTAAACTTTATGATTTTTCTAGATTTGATGCTTTTGAATCTAATGACATGAGTCATAAATTTGAAAAGTTAATACAGTTTTTTTAAAAAAATAGGGGCTTTATAATCCCTTTTTTTTCAAGTTAGTTCAATTTCATAATCTAGACTACGAGTTTGACAAGATATTTCAGATTTGCTTCACTCTAATTATTGTGGTTACAAATTTACCAAACCAACTTAGATTCATCATGAATGATCTTTTTTTGTCATTTTTACCCTATCTTGGCAATTAAAAATCTCTTGTCGTATAAAAATAATAATTCAGGTACACAATTAAACAAGACTAATTAGTTACATATGCATCAATTAAATTATATGTTTTGCACAAATAAATTGCCTCCTAAACTTATTTTTTAAAGTCCTTATCTTAACACTTTTTAGTATATTTTGATTACTAAATCCATTTTATGTTTTTCGTGGAACAATTATTATGTCTCTTTATACAAAACAAATCTCAAAAAAATCTATCGAGATACTTTTGTTTTTGTAAAACCCTAGATTAAAATCTTTCATATAAAAAACATTCACATCGATTAACAATAATTTTGTTTTGAGATAAGAAAAATACTAAATCATTGACCGCCTCAAATTATGAATCAAATCAAATATTTTTTTAAGCTAAAAAAATTAAACCTCATTAAGCATTGTTAATATATAATATAGTCAAAAATAAAAATTATAACTCAAAAACTAATATATATTAAATAATTTTTTTTTAAATATTAAAATGATGACATATTAAATAAATATTTTTTTAATATTAAAACGGTGATATATTTAATTGATGTAGTGCGTTATTATATTAAATTCATAATCTAATTTATGAAACCATAATAACCTTATAAAAATAAATTAAAATAAATTATAAAATTTAATTTTGAATTAATATAATATTAAAAAATAAAATTAAAAAATAAAACTTAATTAAAAACAACGACAACAAAAAACTGAGAATTAAAAGTTATTTTCATAGTAAAGGGTCCTGTGCCATATTCTTAAAAGAATTTAACTAACATTACTACTTATACATTCAGCAACTTATTAAAAAAAACTTATAATAATTTAAATCAAAACCAGCATTTTGACAGTGACATATGATGTTCTTTTCTTTTTTGTTTGTAATAAAAGAACCAAAATAAATGAGTTAGTACTCCAAATTCCAAAATAGAAGTCTTCAGGTTTCATTCTAAATATATATAAAAAAAATTCAACGTCTCCTACATGGTCATACCATTCAATGTGAAACCTCACCATTGATGAACACTTCAGAAATTTGCATTGAAAGCTCAGGTCGAGCTGCACAGGTGGACTCACCCCCCGTGCCAACGCCATACATGCCAACGCCGTATGTATGGCGGTGGCACGGTGGGTGGTCCACCTATGCAGCTTGACCTGCAAAATTTATGAAGTGAAAGAAATGCTCCTTAAAAATGGAAATTTAATAGCAAAATTAGTGTATAATTAATTAATTATAGGAGGAGGAGGAGTCCTCGTTGCGTAAAAATAATAAGTAACTAAGGGCTTAAAAAGCTGTGTCCTACAAAAGGGGGCCCGCTTGCTTTGGCGTTTTTGGCGGCTATTCTTACAAGAAATCACCAAAACTCATTATTTCACTACCAACCATGCTCCTTTTTCTCTCTTAAAAGACACAAAGGAACTTCCTTTTCATTCTCTTTCTCTCTCTTCCCCTTTATCCTGTTGTCCTTTGAACTTGACAACTTATCGGTTCTGTTCCTGTTTGGCCCCTGAGAAAATCCATACATTTTCCTTTTTGTTTTTCATTTCAATGGTTTTGCTTTTTTGTTACAGCAACCAATAAGAGAGTTTTGTTTTTTTATATATTTTTTATTTTTTTTGGGAAAGAGAGTAATGTGGGCGAGTTTGGTATGTAGTGAATGGGAAGATGAAAGGCAATAAATCAAGATTTGGTCTAAGGTCAAGATTAATGGGGATTTGTTTCAGTACTGATAATGACAAAATGCCACAAGAACGACAGCGGTTATCTTCTAAGGGAAACCAAGGTAATACTTCTAAAGCCACATTTTTGAAGTTTTTGTCCATGTTATTTTTGTTGTGTT